AAATTTTATAATAAAAATATGTGTACTAAACATAAAAAAAAATGTACGTATATGTTCAATACTAGTATAGCCGTGATTTCTTTTATACAAAAAATTCAAAAAACCGAGAATAGCCATGCGGCTATACTATTCCTTTTAAAAAAGAATAAAAATACCGACTATAGCTGTGCGGCTATCCTATTTCTTTTTTAAAAAAATAGAAAAAAAATGAGTATAGCCTTGGAGCGATACTATTTCTTTAAAAACATTTAGAAAATGAGTATAGCCATTCGACAATACCATTTCTTAAAAAATAAAAAAATTATCTTTTGTATGATGATTAGTTGGATTGTTAAGGATTAGTTATCTCGTATATAAGTCATGTGTATGATTGAAAATTGAGATAACTATAAAGAAACCCATTTTTAGCTACAGAATCATAGAGAAACCCTACATGAAACTGACTCTGACCTCTCTAAATGTTCTCTCCCCACCACCAACTCTCAACACTAAACTCCCAAGTTCCCAACCCACTTTCTCTCGTTTCAAGCCCCAAACTCTCAAAACCCCCAAATTGGCTACGATTGAACAAAACGAAACGCAAGCGGTTTCGGCGTTGTCTTTGTCTCCAAGCTTCAATTCATACAATTCGAAGGACAAATTTTGAATACGCGCAGCTCTCTGCATATTTCAACTCCAAGCTCAAGTCACTGGTTCTAGTAGCGATTTTGAATTCAGTGACCCTAAAACTACAACTTTAGATAAAGAGAAGGAGAAGCCAGAAATGGAAGAGAATGAAGGTGTTTAGAACGTCGACGCCGATGGTGATTGCAAGAAGAACGAAGATGAAGACAATTTCTCTTTTGCCTGCACTAACCCAGACGGATCGCTGATTTCCACCAACAATATATTCCAAAATGGCCAAATCGTCTGGTGTTTCAGATTTTCAACTCGAATCTCCTGTTCGCTGACGACGGCGATTCTTCCAAAGCCAAATGTTGCATACCGTAGATCTGGAGACGTGTGCAAGGTACAAACCTTCAACTACATTGCTGCCTAGAAATTATTTTTTTTCGTCCTTTGCTCTGATTGTTGATTCTGTCATAGCTTTTGGTTCCTCTTTTGAGCACTTACCGATACGAGGGAGATGAGATCATTGTGCCCTTGGCAAAGAAAGAGGCTAAGATACTTCATGAGAAAATGTCAGGCAAAGCCTGCGATGATGTGGAGCTCATCAAGATCCTTTCTACCAGGAGTAAAGCATAGCTGAATGCAACCTTGAATTACTACAACAAAGAGTTTGGCAATGCCATTAACAAAGATTTTAAGGCTAATAAAGTTGATGAGTTCCTCCAGCCTGCAGTAGTGTGGCCAAAGCAGGACACATACGTACCTTTCATCCTCTAGGAATGGTGAAGCCTTCATATTCAATGTCAGCAATGGCTTTCCTACTTAAAGGTATATAATCTTTCATGCAGTCCAAGTTCATCTATTTTAATTGATAGCAAAAATAAGTTTAATCTGTTATCCGAGAAACTCAGCATTCAACAAGCTTATCAGTGAGTTTCATTTCATTTCCCATCAGAACATGCTAAGATAATGGGAAGCGAAAGACCAGGTGAAAATCTGACATTGGATGACACAAAGAAGATGAAGTATACCTGGCAGGTTACTCGAGAAAGCATGCGGCTCTTCCCTCCTATCTTTGGCTAAAACTTTGAGAAGGTTCTGCTCCTGGCTATCAACAAGTGTGTTATTTATGTTTGGCTTGTGAACGTTTTAAATTCAACGATTTAGTTTGTATGGCTTAAGTTAGAGATTTGAACATGTTAACTTTTATGCTGTGGTTTGTGATCGTTTCAATATGGAAGAAAACTAATTTTTTTGTTCTTCAGTCGTCGTTAGTTTTTTAGTTAAAAGTTTGAGAATATTAAGGGTTTTTGATTTAGTTGTTCTCTTATGGCTTAAAAACAATGTAGCTCATCTACTTATGGATTTCACTTTTGATTAAGCAAATCATCCTAGAACTTAGAAATGCATATATAATACTATAGATAGTATTTCTTTTTTAATAATACTATAATTATATTGCGACTGGGTCCAAATGCCAGAATGGAAACGAATGATTTGTTCTGGTTGATCTGGACTGACTCTTTGCTTCAGAATACCTCTAAAACCAATATCAGAGGCATCAGTTTTGTTTAATTTTTAATGATAATGATAGTGATAATGAATGTCAATTGGGTATTTGAGTTTCTCGTACTATCAGAAGTTTGCTATCCCTGTTTGCCTATTAAAAGATATGTGTTAAAACGTTTTGTAAGTTGAATATAAGAAGGTTTATTTTCAATGTTTATGTCGCACGCATGCTTTTCAAATTTCTTTATAAAAAGTCTTTAGTGTTCTTGTCTCTTGCTGAATTGATGTGGAAAAGCTATGTAGAAAATAAGTATTTTCAATAATGTTTTTGTTTAAATTGAATTTCCTTTGGCTCATTATGTCATGCTCTGTTTGTAAGCTCTTGACAAGATTAGATTTGAGAGTTTGACTGACAAGAGCAAGCTCGATGGTCAGCCAGAGCTCTTCATCCCTGACAAAAACAACAATACCTTGACTATTATTGATAGTGGTATTGGAATGACCAAAGCTGGTAAGTTGATTTGTAGTATACAATTTGTTATCTATAAGTGGTATGAACAGTTGTTAACTTCCAGTAAGTGGTATGAATAATTGTTATACTGTTCATACCCTGCAATTAAGTTGATTTCTATTACATTGTATTAACAGTGTAATTCTATGACATAATATTAACAATATAATTTTATGACATAATATTTACATATTTTCAGTAACAAAGCATGCTCTATATTTTGCTCTATATACAGATGTGCACTTGAAGTTTATGATATGCAGAATGTGTTTTTTACTAGGAAAATAGTTCTATGACATACTATTAACAGTGTACTTTTTTCTTTTCTTGTAGAGGTATATCCTTTTGCCTTTGTGATTGTTTATGTTAAACTATGGACAATTGGAGGTGGTTTCTGCAAAGGATATCAAATGTCTTGCTAGGCTTTTTTGGGTGGTATGAGATGATATTAACAATGTACTTCTATGACATAGTATTAACTAGAGGTGTCAAACGGGCCGTGCCAGGCCGGCCCGTCCCATTTAAACTCGTGCTTTTAAAATTTTCGTGTCGTGCCGGGCAGACCCATTTAATTTATTGGGCCGTGCCTTGCCGGCCCATTTAGTAGAATCATTGATCCCGACCTGGCCCAAAGCCCATATCCACATTGAAACAGGCCGAGCCGTGCTCGTGCCGTGCCCGGGCCCAATAACCAACCCATTTAATTTAAAGTTTTTTCACTTGATTTTTTTTTTCACTTGCTAATTCAAATTATAAACATTAAAAATATAATTAGAGGCAAGAAATGATGAATTATTTGAAAACATTAATCAATCAAACATCCAAACAATATAAAAGGTGGATGGCAAAAAGTGTACAACTCCACTTCAACTTTTTATCCTTAAACAACTTATTATTTTATATGTGAAGAAATGTCTTACTTTGATTATAAGAGAAGCGTATATGTCATATGTACTGATTAGATATCAAGTCCAATGTTGTTAAATTAATTTGTAGTTGATATGTTTAATTAATTAAGGATCCAAGAAATTTCCCTAAAATGAAAGACATTAAATATATGTTTATGATTATAAATATATAAAATAAAATAAAAACATATAAATAATGATATTAGATGTCAAATTTTTGCATTTTGACTTTTGAGAAAGAAAAAAAAAAGTTAAGTGGGCCGTGCTTGAAGCGGGCTAGGGGCCAAGCCCGACCCATGTCGGGCCGTGGGCCAGCCCGGTCTATTGGACCTCATTTTTTATCCCGGTCCGGCCCAAGTTTTTGTACCGTGCCGAGCACGGCCCATTACTATTTATGCTCGTGCCATGTTGTGCCTCATTTAAACGGGCTGGGCTCATGCCGTGCTGAGTTAGCCCGTCCCGTTTGACATCTCTAGTATTAACAATGTACTTTTGTGACGTGATATTAACAATGTACTTCGGGTTTGCTGGGCTTGTTTTGGGTTTTTTTTTTGAGTTTTTTGTGTTGGGCTTGTTTTAAGTTAATCAGTGGCAGTCATATAATTTATAGGAACTTCAACATTTATTTCTTATGTAGTAAATGATTTTTAGGTATGTTTCTAAAGTACATTTCATATGGGTTTTGTTTTTGTTTATTTATTTATTTTTATTTTTTGTAATTACATCCCTTATTTTGGGTATATTACTAAAGCTCCCTTGAAAATTCTCAATCTGAATTTGAATATCAGTCAGTGTCACAAACGGTATTATTAATGATGCTTTATTTGTTGGTGTGACTTGTGACTTTCCTTGCACACTAAGGATTCATATATTAATTGTAATTGATTTCCTACGGTAAATAGAATTATGAGTTATTATTATTTTTTTGGCATTCAAAGAGAAGAATACACAGAAAATTCCCTCAAACAATATTCTATCATAAGTTTCATATTTTAGCATTATTTTCTAAAAATAAACAATTTGCAACCCAATATGAAGAAACAAATAACCTCACATAATTTGATATTCAAAATGTAGAATTTGTTTTACAGCTCTATATTTGTTATTGAAATATATATATATGAACCATAAGTCACCTACATTTTCATCAACACAATTTCTTACGAAGTTAAAAGTGTGGTAAGTTTTTCTTTTTGTGCTTTCCTAAGGTATCCCCAGGCATGGCCCAGGCCTAATCCTCCGAGATACACTATCGGGCGCATATGCGGGGAGTTCTCCCAAGAAAGTTTTCTACATCCACAAAGGCTCGAACCCGAGACCACTTGCTTAAGTAAGTGTGGTAAGTTTTTCATTGCAATTGGCGAAATAAAGACATTGAGAAACAAACAGCCTACATGAGGTTTTCACTTGGTTAATTATTAACTTATTAAACGAACAAACAAAAAACAATATAAACACAATAATTAAATCACAGCAGTAGATGTGAAGTTGAAGTTAGCACAACTTGTCTCCCGAGACAAAAGTGATGAGCTGAACCCAAGCCTCTTGTTAGCCAGATCAAACTGAAGAAGATTGTCCTCCAACTGATGCCCTCCGATCACAATCGACGTCGTTGGGCTCTCAAATGAGTAGCGTTGCCTTTGCTCAGCAGCCACAAACCCCAAACACAACACATCCTTGCTCACTTGCACCATGGAATTTGCTCCAGACACCCTCCAGTACACACCCTCACTTTGCAACACAAAGTCAATGCTAGGAACAGCCGGGCCCACACGTGTAATTCCAATGTGGGTTGAGTCAAAGCAAGCTCCAAAAGGCTCTACAGAAGCCACTCTCTTAATATGACCAGGCATTTCTTTCACAAACGCATCAACAAAGGCTTTGTAGATTGTGCTCTCCAAGACGGTGTAAGGATTGACGGTGCTGATTTTTGTGCCACCATAACCATTTTGATCAATCATTAGCAGAGAAGTATTTAGTGACACCATTTTTTCGTTGACTTGGATTGACTTCACATTTATGAAATATTCGGCAGAGGGCTCATCCGGATCAAAAACATAGCCTGTGCTGACAGGGTTGAGGATCAACTTGGTGAAAGTCAACGACTTATACACATCAATCTTGGGAGTCAGAACATACGGCCCATCCCCGAAGAAAACAACACCGTATGATCTAGCCGAAGAAGGCAAGCAAATGGCGAATTTTCTAGGGAGTTTATAAGCGGAGGCAAACTGGGTGGGGAGAGCGATTCTGGTTCTGCCTAGACCAGCCATGCCCTTGACACCATTGGCAAGGCCAAGGACACCGTAAAATGTATTGCTACTACAAGCGAAGATGAAGTTTGGAATGTTAGAGACCTTTGGGCCGGAGTGGGACCCATCTGTGGAATGTAGGCCCCACAGGATATCCTGACCAACCTCGCCGTTGTTGTCGGCATAGCCAATCACGGTGTTGTCTGGGAAGAGGATGCAGGTGCGGTTGTTGCAGCCTGGCCTTTTGGGGAAGAAGCATTCCCAGTTGCATTCTTTGGAGTTTGCAATGGAGCATTGTGTTGCGTTGCAGTAGGCAGGCTTGTAGGTGGACGAGATGTACTCGCCTTCGTTGCAGTCAACCCAGAGGAATTGACCACCGAGGTCAACGGTTAGCTTTAAGGTTACCGGTGGGGTTCTTTGCTTGATGGTGGTGATGTATTGGAGGGTAGAAGCGTCTTTGGCTATGGGAAGAACTAGGGCTTTGGGTTTGAGTGGTGATGGTTTGGCTTGTGATGAGAGGATCATGCGGATCGAGAGTAGAAGGGAGCAAAAGAGAAGTAGGCTATGAATAGATGAGGAAGCCATTGTTATGTGTGAACTCAATAATCAATGGAAGTTATCAGATTGATGAAGTGGGAGGAGGGCCTGTCCATTTATATAGGTGTTTCAACTCTTAATAAATAAATAAAAGTCCTAATATGTATCATCTCATGCATGTTGCAGCACAAAGTCAAATAATCCTCTGTTCGAAAGCTATAGCATAAGTTCAAGGCATTAGCAGCAGCTAGCTCAAAGTCTTTGATATTGAGTCAAGTGAAAGAGATTTAAAGTTGCACATAGTGGGCAGGTGTCATGTGTTGAGTGGTTAATTAGTAGGTTAATTATCAGTTTTGGTTTTTATTAATCAGTTCCATATTGAAGTGGAGAAATTATAGAATACAAAGGATCCAGTATCAGACAATAATTATCCTAACAAGTGTGTAATTGTAATTGTCTGCATCGTTTATATATTGGATAAAAAGCAATCAGGAACATTTATTCACCATGCAAAAGACAAATAAATAACAGAAATTGAATAATTAAGAAGGCCCTTTGTCTCTAAGCAGTAGATGTGAAGTTGAAGTTGGCACAAGTTGTTCGACTGAAGAACAGTGAGGAGCTGAACCCAAGCCTGGAAGCAGCCAAATCAAACTGCAGAAGATTGTCCTCCAACTGATGCCCTCCGATCACAATTGAAGTCCTTGGCCTCTCACCTCCATCCACAAACCCCAAACACAGCACGTCATCGCTCACCGCCACCATGGAATTTGCTCCAAACACCCTCCAGTACACACTCTCACTCTGCAACACTAGGTCAATAGCAGGCACTGCAGGCCCAACCCTTGTGCTTCCAATGTTCTTCGAATCGAAGCATGCTCCAAATGGTGCTACTGCCTTCACTCTTGGGATTTCAGCAACTGTTTTCACAAATGCATCGACCACGGCGTTGTAGATTGAGGTCTCCAAGACTGTGTATGGATTCACAGTGCTAATCTTTGTGCCGCCATACCCTTCACTGTCAATTTTCAGCAATGAAGTGTTCAAAGCAACGGCCTTATCACTGATCTTGATTGACTTCACATTGATGAAGTATTCTGTAGAAGGCTCTCCTTGGAAGTAACCACTTGCAGTGCTAACAGGGTTGAGGATCAATGGGGTGAAAATAAGTGACTTGGAGACATCAATTCCGGGAAGCAGACTGTAAGGCCCGTCCCCGAAGATGACAATACCATTAGAATTTGAAGAGGACAAGCAAATTGCAAATTTTCGATGGAAGCTGAAGGCTGAAGAAAATTGGGAAGGAAGCCCAATTTTAGCCCTACCAAGGCCAGCCATGCCCTTGACACCATTGGCCAGGCCATCCAACAGAAATGTGGAACCACAGGTGAAGAGAAAATTGGGGACAGAAACAACCTTACCAGGAGTAAACCCATCTGTGGATTGGAGTGACACAATGTCCTGGCCAAGGTCACCGCTCGTGCCGGTTCTGGTGACGGTGTTATCGGGGGAGAGACTGCATGTGTTGTTGTTGCAGCCTGGCTTGGGGGAAGAGTAGCACTCTGTCGTACACGCCTTGGAGTTTGACAATGAGCACTGGGCAGAGTTGCAACGAGCAGGCTTGTAGGTGGATGAGACGTAGCCTTGTTCGCAGTCAACCCAAAGGTATTGACCCCCAAGATCGACAGTGAGTTTTATGGGGACAAGAGGGGTTCTTTGGCTGAAGGTGGTGAGGTATTGGAGAGTGGAAGGGTCCTTGGTGACTGGAAGAACAAGGGCCTTGGGTCTGAAAGATGCAGCTTTGGCTAGTGAGGGGGTGGTGGTGATGATTCGGAGGACCAGTGAGCAAAAGAGAAGGCAATGAAATGAGGAAGCCATTGTTGCTGGCTTTGTTGGATGTTGATTTGTAAATCAATGGGAAATGAAACTGATGGTTGAAGAAGAGGGAGGGCATGCCACCAATTTATAGGTTTTTGAAGTGTTAGAACATTTTTGACCAAAGTACAAAAGTCTATGAGTTCGAAGTGAAGAAGCCACGTTTGTCAAAGATGGCGATTTTGGATTGTTATCTATCTATGTTCCTAATGCCAGCTCGATCCGCGGTTTCTTTTATTTTTCTGCTGACCCTGAACACAAGTTTGTCATTGTCTTTATCTTTGAATTTGATGTTCATTTGTCGTATTATATTAATAAGGATAAAGTGAGAATATTATTAGGTAAAGTTTTGGTGGAGTCTCAAAAGCAACCAAATCGAATCAATCTAATTATTTATAATGAGTTATTTCTTCGTCTTTTTGTAGAGAAATTTATTATGAGTTATGATTGATCAATATAAGTGCTAATATCTCACTTGTTTATTACATTCACACTTCATAAGGTTTTTCATATTTTCATAAATAATAATATTATTTCTACCACATTTATTGTCCTAATATTATCCAAATAGAAATAAACTATTTAGATATCCCCTAAGTTTTAGATTGTTTTCCCATAACCTTTTTTTATGTGTCAGTATAACTTCCAAAAATATCATCGAATTTTGTACAAATACGAGAAAATCAAAGTGTATCATTGTAATTAACCCTGTAAAAAGCAACTGAGTTTTCATTCAAGATAATATGTTCATGCAATCCGGTAGCAATTTAAAAAACAATCTAATATGTTGCAAAATATATCCAAAAAACACAAGCTTGTTCAAGTAGTCTGAAGTCTTTCAATATTTATATGATATACTGTGGGTGAGTGGGGTGTCATTGTAAATAAATATACTGGGAAGGCTAAAACCAGAAGACGCGTCAAGGGCGCAGACGTGGGAATATTAATTGCCAGCTGAACCCATGTTAATTAAGTGCATGCTTCCAAAACATGTTTTTTTGTTTTTGTTTTTGTTTTTATTGAAATAAAGTTTAGGGAGACATTGAATATTCTCACTACCAGCGTCAAGATATACCTACAATTTCGAGCTGAAAGGACTTACGCATGGCATTTAATTGCCAGTTGTTATCAGTATGAATTTATGTATGAAATTACATATCACGCACAGCGAGACTTGAATATTAATAGGGCTATACACAGTGTAGGGACCTTACTAACTGAATCAACCTCATTGGCTTCTAAAACACATTTTAGCTACACAATGCAGATCTTCCCATTGCGATCTAGATCTACGAATGAATATTTTTGTTATATATATTTGGAGAATGATGGGTTTGCGTCAAAAGCAGTCAGGTTCACCATTTATTTATCACGTAAAGATACATGAACATTAATGCTAAGAACAATGAAAAACCACAACATGGCCAGCTTATAGCCACACTAACTATAAGCATTGGAAGTGAAGTTGAAGTAGCACAAGTAGTTTTTCCGAACAACAATGAGGAGCTGAACCCGAGCCTCTTGTTAGCCAAATCAAACTGCAGAAGATTGACCATTGGTTTCACTATCACATACTAAGATATCCAAAATTTAGAAGTTATTTTAATGCCTCTAGCTAGGAATATCCTCATAAATTATTGAGATACTATATATAAACTACTCATTGGTTTACTTGGTGATAAGTTTATTTATTTATTTATTCAGTTGACGTGATCTATTAAGATTAATTGTCGAATTCCCTTAGTTATCAGCTTGGTTAACTCCATCCAAGCCTTGATCTATTAAGTTTTGCGAATGAATTTTTTTGCTATATGTATTTGGAGAATGATGGGTTGCGTCAAAAGCAATCATGAACACCATTTATTTTTCACGTAAAAAATACATGAACATCGATGCAAATAACATTTATTAAATCGCAGCATGGCCAGCTAGCGATAGTAAGACGCTCCTCTAACTCTAAGCATTGGAAGTGAAGTTGAAGTTGGCACAAGTAGTTTGTCTGAGCAACAATGAAGAGCTGAACCCGAGCCTCTTGTTAGCCAAATCAAACTGCAGAAGATTGTCCTCCAACTGATGCCCTCCAATCACAATCGAAGTCCTTGGCCTCACACCACCATCCACAAACCCTAAACACAACACGTCCTTGGCCACCTGAACCATGGAGTTTGCACCTAAGAACCTCCAAAACACTCCCTCGCTCAGCACAAGGTCAATGGGTGGCACGAACGGACCGACAAGTGTGCTGCTAATGTTTGGGGCTGAAGCAAGCTCCAAAAGGTGCAACAGATGCCATTCTTGGGACGCGGGGGAGTTGTTTCACAAATGTTTTAACCACCGCTTTGTAGATTGAGGTCTCCAAGACTCTGTAGGGCTTCACGGTGCTAATTTTCGTGCCACCATAGCCTTCTGAGTCAATGTTTAGCAACGAAGTGGCATTGAATGAAACAACCTCGTCGTTGATCTTGATGGATTTTACTTGGATGAAGTAATTGTAAGACATTGCATCGTCTTAATCCACTTATAGATG